CTACAAACGTACATTTTCTCGAAAGAGATAAGTTATTAACAAATTGATGAAGCAAGAATATCAACAGTCTCGTTTAACATCATCATAACGTCATCATTTTGAAAGTTCTATGATCAATACGGGGACCATTCGGCGGGTGCAATTAATCATTGAGTCGGACGCTGACTGACGTTTTTCTTGCTGTTGTTGGACCATTGTTTGCACAATGGGTTATCTGTGGATATTCCCGTTACTTTCCGATCTTGACAAAGAGCACACGACGGGTGAGACCGGTCGGAAGGGCATGCTGGCTCCTCCATGGCACTTGATCCCATCTCTGATGATTTAAAGGTTCTTGAGTGCTCTTCTTCTGATTTGTATAGTTTTAATGGACTTTGGAGCTTGAAATGTGTTTGGGTTTTTTTTCTATATATGTCACTCTGACTTATGAATGAGAAATGTTGAAAGCTCATATTTAGCACAAATTTTTTCAAAGAGCTGAGGCTGCATCAGGGCCCAAGCCAAGGGTTAATTGAGTTAGTTCAGGAGACTGACTAGAAAGAAATCTGTCATGCGAGATTACAAAGAAAAAAATGGCCGTTGCATGAAAAATGCAAGGGGTATTTGTTTTTAGTTTGTACAGTACCTCCAGTTTAAAAAGAGCTATCATATTTGATGAATATGATATACGGGTACTAATTGCTAACATTACCTTCTCATACCTTTTGTTAACATAACAAAATAAATCTTAAATAACAAATCATAATATCATAAATCATTTTTAAACAAATAAGTTTGTAACGAATGTGTTTTTTTAACTGTTAAGTTAATAGCTGACAAAATAAAACTGCACTTAATACTCGACCTTCAGTAACCATAAGATATCTGACATATCGTCAGTCAATGGTTTCTTACTTCTGTAGTAGACCCACGAGTTAGTACAAGCAGGTACTTGAAGTATTATGAAATATATGCAGTGTCATTTGCTCGGTCACTTTATTCTGATGAGTGTTAGATACTTCAGCAAGTACTGAGCTCACTGTGAAGATGTGAGGATACAAGAGAAATGTGCCCGTGGCTGGTTGTGTTAAGTCTCCTCTCATCAGAAGAACCACTCCGACTCAAATGTATCTGAAGTCAAAAATCTCAAGAGGGTCTTTTAGACTTATAATACAGAAGTTGATTTTGAGTGGGTTGTTATTGTCATTTTGAATGTTGCCTCTGTGTAATTCGCTCTATTTTTTTTATTTTGAAGTACATTTTTATTTCTTTATTAGTAGCAACGCAAGAACCTAACACGTATCAAGTTTATTTGTTGATTTAGACATTCACTTCTAGCTTAATTTTGCTTTTAAAAGATATTCTTTACTTAGTCATGTTTCAGAGTCTTTGAGATTAGTCATTTGTCAAACTCAAGGAGGTGATCCAATACGAAAAATAACAATTATACAAAGCAATTTAATCAGACCCCATGTCACACTGTTCTTGAATGCCCTAAATTTTATTATTTCATTTTATATGTGTAGTTGATGTAGATCTTGTTAAGATCAAATAACAATAAAATTTGCCAAACATACATATGCATATCAATTAAAAGATTTCGCAATATCTTGGCTATGAAGAATTTTGATGAGTCAAAATACATATTGGTCATCATTGAACATACGTAGTATTGCCGTGTTGGTATGCAATTTGACGATCCATATACGTGCTTCTCTTATCCCATAATTGTCTTGAATTGGTGCTTTATTAAATACCTTATCACATAAAATAAATTTCTGGCTTTTGACCCAAAGAATTCTTTTATCATGACTTCTACCTACATCGCTTCTTAAGAAGTGATTGGAACTTATGATGATGTGATTGTGAAACAAGTGTAAATATGATAAGTTATCATATAATTGGCTACTTAGGTAGATAGAATGAGGGTTCGTGTTTGCTTCCTCAGAAAATTCTCAGTGACATCTTGAAGTTTGTGGTTTCTATTTGTATTGTCCTGTTCTCCGTACTATAAGACAACATCGATAAATTGTACATTACTAACACTTTGCTTATTTCTTTTTTTTTATGCCTAAAATGTTTTATTATCATTGATTAATTGTGGTTGGCTTTTGGTGTTTTAAATTATTGTGTTAGATAAACTCGGTTATTTTGTGCTTTCCAGAAGTTGACAAGATGCTGTTTCGTAATAATGTTTAAAAATGCTTAGTATAGTAAACACTACTTATGTATATAACTCACTCTCGTAAATACGATGAATACATGTACGTATTACCGATTAAACAGATTATGATGTAGTTTTAGAAACTGTATTGGGCTTTTCTTTTGTCTTAAGTATTTCCTGTCCTCCCGAATCACTTCAGCATCTATTGACTTATCTGTGTAAACCTAAAAACGGATATATTAAGAGGTACATCATGTAAATAACCTAAGTGCTACCTTCTTACATCGGTAAATCTCACTGCGTGACGGCAGTCAAAATTTAGCCTTACTAATATACTTTGAGCTAGCGATTATAGCCTATTTGTTCATTTATCAAATAAAAAAATAAACACAAAAAATGTTCTTTAGAATTTCAAGTTGATAGATATTTCACAGAACAGAATTTTGATTCATAAAGTTAAAATAATTCGGTTCAAAAGTGGTGATAAAAAATGTCAATTCATTTATGATGATGAACCTGTAGCAAAACTGGTGAAACATGTGAAAATTAGGAACAGTGAACGATATAGAAATAACTGGGCAAAAAACTAGGAGGGATCAAGTGCCCAGAAGGAAAAAGCTTCCCATGTTGACCAGTAACACCAAGAACCAAGTATTAATCAAGTAGAAAACTGTTTCGAAGTAAATGTTAGAGTAAAACAAAAGCCTAAGGACCAGTGTAAAAGTTGTCTGTTAAAATAAAATATCTAATTTTCAGTTGTGTTTAATTTCAGGGTCATATGAACGATAGAATTTACAAAATTGTGACTTCAAACGAGGTTATTGAAATCCATGTAACATCGACTTATTTATCAGTAGCCTATCTTGGTTTAAAAAATTCTCAAAGTATCTTATAAGTTAAGTAACTTAAAACCAATCATCTCAATCATAAGAGCTCTAATCTAATAGTTATTAGGATTCATAACCTAACTGTACAGAGTTTACCTAAATTTTTAACAAATCTTTAGCATATTTAATTTTTTTTGTATGACTAAATGATTACAGATTTTATATTCAATCACTATGGTTTCAACCGAATTCCCGGTTAATCGTTTTAAAATGCAATATCTAATTACTTCATATATAACAAGATGTGTTTGTGAAACAATCTCTGCGCCCGGCAGCAACAAAGTTCGAAAAAGCTATTTTTAGCATACAGGTCACAGTCAAGGTTACAAGGTCATTGACCTTGGTTTACATACCAAATATGAAATCTCTATCTATCATTGTTCAAAAGTTATGGTGAAGGTTAATGTGACAACAGACAGACAAACAGGCAAACAGATAAACAGACAAACAGAGAGGACAAAACAACAATATACGCCTCGGATCTATCGATCCTGGGCCACAGGCACTGGTTTCTGTAATAAATTTTTGACCCATAGTATAATAATAACACGTGTTATTATTATACTATGGGTTAAAATTTATTCCCGAAACAAGTGCCTGTGATCCGGGCGCATAAAAAGTTAACAAAGGAAAACCGATTTCAGCTTGGATATAGTCAACTAAACATCAAAATATGAAACCAATGTGGCAAACTCTGATGGTTTTATTTCGTGCCCACTAAGATATATCGAGTCACATATAATGGAAGTAACTATTCTTATTGTCCCTCGCTTTCGCGAAAGCAAGCGGACTTTAAATCTCAATCGTCTGTCCGTCTGTCAGTCAGTCTGTCCGTCCGTCACAAAACTTTAACCTTGTCCATAACTTTTGTTTCAGTGGAGCTATGAGTCATATTTATATTTTTTGTGACAAGACCTTCCTCTGGGTACCACAAAATTTGACCTTTTGACCTTGACCTTGTAGTTTGAGCTGTTTTTTATTAACTTTAACCTTGGCCATAACTTTTGAACGATTCAGGCAAGGGCTTTCATACTTCACCTACATAATACTTGTGGCAAGACCTTCCATTAAATTTGACCTGGAGTTTGACCCACTTTTACACAAAATTCCAAACTTTTACTTTGGCAATAACGTTTGAACAGTAGATACTAGGGCTTTCGTATTTCACATATGTATCTTTTGTGACAAGACCTTTCATTAGATACCAATACTAGTAACTTTGACCTTGACGATTTTTTGTACTGATGAAAAAACTTTAACCTTGCCGTTTCTTTGAACAGGAAAGGCAAGAGCTTTCATACTTCACATATGCAATCTTTGTGAAAAGACCTTTCTTTGGATTCCAAGAACTTTAACCTTATGACCTTGGAGATTTCCGTACTTATAAAAAAACTTTAACCTTTGTCATAACTTTTGAGCGAGAAGGACTAGGGCTTTCATACTTCACATATGTAATCCTTGTGAATAGTCCTTTTATTAGATACCAACAACTTTGACCTTGACCTTGGAGTTTGACCTGCTTTTTATAAACTTTTACCTTGGCCATAACTTTAGAATGGTTCGGGAAAGGGCTTTCATACTTCACATACGTAATACTTTTGGCAAGACCTTTCATGGGATATAAAGAACTATACCAATATATTTAATTTGCATTTAAGAAAATTCTAATCTTCGCTATTTTGCCATTCGGGGTCATCAGTGTTTCACTTCCTTACAACTTTTGATTGAGAAGAGATAGGGCTTTCATATTTGACATGTGCATTACCTGTGAAAAGATTTGATGTGTATTAGAACGAAGAAGATACTGATACAAAACGATAACATGCTGTCCACGGACATGTACATTTCCAAATTTTATTTTGCTTGATTCGATGTATATGCTTAAATTTGGTCATCTTATATCAATGAAGAGATTTCTATTGACTTTACTATCTCAAAGTACGAAAAAAATTAAGATTTCAGAAACAAAATTAACTTTTGTGAATTAATTTAATTTATTCATATCATATATATGTACAAAACCTCTCTCTCTCTCTCTCTCTCTCTCTCTCTCTCTCTCTCTCTCTCTCTCTCTCTCTCTCTCTGGAATGTTTCGTATGTATAAATTGCATGTTTGAATTGAACATGCATACACAAGGTCATTGCATAATAAAAAAACAACAAAAATACACTAACAAATTTTTAACAAACCACAACTTAACAATATTAAAGCAGCACTGTCTCTGTCACGCTGGTGTTCACCGACCCAATAACAATTCGTTTTACTCTGAGCGAAACTCTGTTTCTGGGAACGAACTGTCTACACGTAAATCAGGGATCGGATTGTAGAACGTCCAGCGCTAATATCTGAGCACGAGACTTCAGATGCACCAAGAAACCCATCCTATGGATCTGCCTCTACGACACCTGCTAAAAAGTTAAAAAGAAAAAATCTATTAAAGTTTGTTAATTTAATAATATTTTTTAAAAAGTTAAAATAATCCCATTTACTTTTTTAATATTTATTTATCATGTTTTGCAATATTCAAATTTAAGCTATTTTACACGTATCTCACCTCGTGGGTCTGTTTGTGGACAGCTAGTGTTCTGGCCTGACAAAATCCCTTCCCACAAGTAACACACTTAAAGGGCTTTTCCTTGGAGTGAATGTACCTGTGAAATAAAGCACAAAAAATTTAAATAAAAATGTTTTATTGACTGTTCTAGAGACTTTTTGTCAATTTTAGTCTTTCGAATCATGAACTTTTTTTTCACTCTTAGCAGTTTTTAACCTATCTTTATTCCGCAATCTATATTTATTATTTGTTAAATTATATTTCATCTCAAATAAAGAAAAATAAATAATAAAAAAAACCCCAGGTACACGTGTACTTACCTGTGGTCCCTGAGGTGATCCTGTCGCCTGAAGGCCTTGCCACAGATGTCACAGGGGAAGGGGCGTTCATCCGTGTGCGTGCGCTCGTGGATCAGAAGATTGTACGATTTGGAAAAATGGCGTCCGCAGTATTTACAGATGTATTCTTTCTTCTGTCTAAAATATAAAGGAATCAATTAAAAAATACCTACAGTAACAAGAATTAATAGTACATCGTAGATTTGTTTCATTTCAATTTGAATTAAATAAGCCTAAAGAGAATTGTTACAACTAATACATGAACCCTGAATTAAATATAATGAACAAAATAAATAATCTTACTTTTTGTGGCGCCTTCCTCTTCGTTCCGGGAGGGAACTACATTTTTGGAGGTGGAGGGGGAACTTGAGTGGCATGTACGAAAGTCTGAAAGAGTCCATACAGGTTTTACTCAATCTAACAAAGAGTAGATAATTAGGTTTATTATATGATTGAATAGTTTTCATCTCTCTGATTGGCTGAGATCCAACTATGTTAGAAAAATACTACGTTGTATTGACCTGCACGTGACGTTCCAGGTCAATACAAGGATTTATTTCCTCTACATTGATCTAAAAATAGATCGGGATATTCCAAATTGATACAAATTTGGAAAGCTATTTAAACTACTATAACTTTTTTTCATGTGAAGATAAGTTAAGCGAATATATATTTTCGGGTGAGGGTGATAAGAGGGGATATATCCAAACTTTTACTGAAAAACAATTTTTACTTTTTTGATACTCTATACTAAGTAATTTTTTTTCATGGCAACTAAAATTGATTTTAAAAAAAAACTTAACAAAAAAATAAATACGACCTGTAAGGTTTATTAACATTTTAATTCTGTCTCTTAATTGTATTTGGATAGGACTTAATCAAATGCAAACAAGTAATGGGTTTTATCATTTTATTAGTGATCAAAACACAGCGTATAATATTAATTTTGATAAAGTTTTATTTACACTGTAGATCGTTTCTTTTCACTTTGAATTATCAATTTTGAATTGATATTTAAGTAATAAATATAAAACTTTTTTTTCTAATGTCATGTTTCATTCGATTAATAATATTTGCTTTATCATTTATTAACCGCATGTAAAAACACGATGCGGAAAGTTTGAAGTATGTCGGTAGTCACATGGGAAAGCCGCGAATTTAGCGTAATTTTACCACAAGATATTATGTGAAGAGTGTAAATCAGTGAAGAATATTACTTCCTTTATAAAGATTACAGAAAGTGCTTGAAATCAAGAGAAGTTAACTCTAAATTTGTTTACATTTTCCAAGTAGTCAAGGCCCATGTCATGCTTATTCAAATAGCTTAAAAAATATTTTTTTTTAATTGGGAAAAAAAAAATTCAGTATATTTCACTGTCAACAACTCAATTCTTCTCAAAACTTTATATATTTTTTTAATTTCCAGTTAAAGCTACTGCTTCACAAAATTAGACGCGATATTAAATTTTAATTAATTTTATTTCACTAAAAGTTGTTAAACCAAATAAGAATTTCTTAGTAATATATTTTACATAGGGTCTTACCTTGCTTGTTCCAGATAAGAGATGTACTCCAGGGCGTGGCTGATGATGAGGGGGTCCTTGTTGATGGGTGATTTGTCGTCAGATCCCTCCTCGTCTCTCATCACTGATTCCGCCATGTGGTGGAAGTCAAAAGGCTTGGGGGACTTCTTTTCCTCTGTGGAAGAAAATTAATAAGTTTTAGCTTTTCATGTTTATATATGTTTGTACATACAGAGAATAAATACAGACAGTCTCAGTATTTTCTGGTTACCACGAATATTGACGGAAATTACAGGTTAGGAAAAATATTTTTTTTTCATAATAAATTAAACTTTTATCAAATAATTAGACTTAATTGTAATAATTTGTATTTGCACTAGAATTGATTGAAAATGTCTGTTTTATTTCTGTTAAAACCAAAAACGTTGAAACTGTAGCGCTAACATATTCAGTTACTTTACATAGTAATTGTCATGGCGGATCTAATGTATTTCAAATGACGTATCTGCTAGCGTTGCAAGAAAAGCTTGAATTCCCCACGGCCAGAGTGTGCATGACACAGAATCCTATACAATAAATACTTGTCTCTCTGCTTCATAAGTTTCCCTCATTCAAAATAATTTCCTATGAATACATTAAAATTCTTCTCTCATGTCCGTTGGTAGTCCTTATCTTTCGCAAAAATATTGTTATCAAGTTGTAACATAAACCGCAAGCAATTATGCAGGTGTCCGTCACTTTAAATAATAATTTATAATTATTTTCATTGGTTGTTATTTATAATATTTCAAGCTTACATTTACAAGAAACTATGTAGCCGCCATCTTGAAATCAGAGGGGGTATGCTCATTTAAACTTATATTTTGGAAAAAATACACTTAAGAAAGCGTTTTTGACAAGGAAGTTGATTACCCCACTCAATTATCTTTAAGGAAAACAAAAAAAGATTGGAATTTTATAAGCAAAAAATTGTCATTTTCGGAAAAAACTCCGCGTTGTTTTGCTGTTTGCCCGCCATCTTTAATGCATGTTGGAGGAGGAGCATTGAAGAAGCCTTCCACGATCACTTAGTGATTCAATCTGATCTTTCCTGGGGTGACATCAACCTTACTTATCGGAAACACACCAAGCACCCGCGATAACCAAGATTTTGTAACTTCACAATAACTTGCTACTGACACTGTGACTTTGCAATACATGTAACAATGCTATTTTTTTTTTACAACGTATTTAAATGATAAATAAGATATTTTAATTTAAAGATGCAATAAAAGGGAAAAAACGCGGAATTGGTGCAGTTTATTTTTATTGTTTAAAATATATCCACTAATGTAGCTGCAATATCCCTTTTTTATTTTCATTTTCAGTTAAACATTTAAATGTCTGTATATTATAAATATGAATTTCATGTCGTTTTTTGTTGATCTTTTCATATTATATTCTTTCTTTAAATAATAAAAATTAAATAGTTAATTGCATAAATTCGGTTTTCCCCTCATTATGATTTTAAATTTTAGCGTACAGCAAACATATGATATATGGACCTTTCTTACCTTCAATCGACATGTCCGAAAAAGAGCGCTTTTCGGGCGAGAGGTTGTCGTCTGAAAGCAAGCTGGAGGAGGAACATGAGAGATCGAGCCCTGTCGTCTGCTGACTCGGCACTCCCAGCATCAGGCGCTCCGGGGAGAGGCACGAACTATTCCCATAGTAATAACTGCTGTAAAGGGCGTGGTAGGCACCGTAGGGGTAACACTTCCACATGTCCCGGGAGTAGGAGAGGGGGTGCGTCATGGAGTAAAGAGGTCGTGCTGGCGGGGTATCGTCCAAACGACTCACGTCAAAGAGACTGGAGTACGGGGTGCTGACTGGACTACTCATGGCTGATTATCTAAAATTCAAAAAGTTTAGTTTTAATAGTACTCAGGGTCCAGAAAAAAAAATCTTTTTTATGGCTATTAACATATTTGTATTTATTTTTATCAAGTAAGTTGTCATGAAAAGGTTTAGTTCGACGAAGATTTTTCTTCCAATTTTAATATTTTTGTTGCATAGTAACTTAATGTAAAGAAGTCTATTTGAAATTTTTTTAAATGATTAGACCATAATAAATATTTGTTTTAAATTAAAGAAGAAGCTTTACTTTTACTTCAAAATATATATTTTAAAAAATAAATAAACCAAAAAAATCAACCCTACAAGGGACTTTCTACAAAAAGTATATACGGACGAGCAGCAATTAAAAATATCTAAATAAATATATTAATTCCATTTATCTGGAAATAATCTGTAAGTCATGTTTGAAAAGCTTCCTGTAAATATATACGATTAATAAAATTATTTATAAAAGCAGATCAAATACTGGCTTTGATATTCTTTTTTTTAAAAATAAGGAAACGCACTTACCAAAAATTACAAAGTTCAAAAGTATATCCTTGCTAAACTAACTTTTTAAAAATGATAAATACTGTAGGTAACTGTTTGTCCTCGTGTAGTTAGTGAGTATGTAAGTAGAAAAGTGCAAACTGCTGAATTTTATATGTGCAGGCCACTAGGGGGCGTTGGTTTATCGCATCTCGATGGTACTTCCGTGATTATCGCACAACCTGCTTAGTGACTTCATAAAAAAAGCTAAATACTAATTCAATTTGTTTACAAATGGAGATAGAAAGTGTAGTATGTCTTTTATGTTGTTTGCGGAGTGTATACTTCAGAAGGTCTTTTATCCATTATATGATTACTGGTCAGTTATTGATCTTGGTTACTTATTGGGTACTAGTGTATATAGTTTGATATTAATAGTGTTAAGAGTACTGCGTTAATCCTTTGTTAGCTAATAAGTCAACAAAAGCACTAACACCTTAACATAAACAAATGTGATAGATTTTGTAGGGGACACATTAAAACCTGTGATTGTAAACATCTTCAGACAAATTATTGCTTTGACAACAATTGTACTTGGAATTTGATCACTTCCTATAATACATGGAGCGTTATCAAGTGAGTGAAAGGGGGTTTGTAGAATGCAAATATTGCCTTAAATTAACGCCTAATGAGCGGTGAATTATCTGAGAGTGCCGCCTCTCCACCCGCTAGACTGCTTATACACAGGCTTTAATCTCGCCTTTAATCGAAGTATCAAGAATATAATCTTTGTATAAGTGTGGAGAGTGCTTGATGAATTCATTTTTAAATCAGATGATAAGTTAATCTGGTAACAGGAACGACGCAGCGCGTGCTCTGTATTAGTTTATTATATGAAGACGCCTTATTTGAGAGTTTGGTGAAATATATCATTAGCAATGATTCCATTTTTCTTTCTTTTCAAAAATGTATCTACAAAATAGTTGGTGCTTTTCGTGCATGTTTATTACATATTTTAAGTAAACTTGTATATAAATAATACTTCTTACACGAGGAGCAGACTTGTACAGTACATTACAGTATATTACAGTATATTTTTGACTTTTGTCACAGGACCAGTCCTGAATCGGAGTTCCGTCTATTACAGAACCCAAACCCTTTAAAGATTATGAAACTCTTTTTGATACTTTTTTCAAAATTTAAACAAGTTCCGTCTATCCTCAAAAGCCATCAAATATTATGAAATTATTAGTAATAGTGATATTTGATACTTTTTAAATTTTATCAAACCGACAGAATAACAACTTGATTTTCAACATTTTTGTTGTTAGTTCACAGGAAAAAAGTCTATGGATTATTAACTATTAAGACATAAAAAATAATTAATAGGTCTTATGATAAATGATATTTTAAAATATTATGAATTTCAGCTTTTAATTTTATTTATTAATTCGTCTTTTTTTCAATTTTATATTAATTTTATTTATATTATATTATTTATTTGATGATTAAATTGCTTCACATCTTGCTACTGAAAACAATTCTATTTTATAAATATTTCAAATGAATCCTAGGACAGCAACATAACTTTAGCATTGAGATACAGAGAAAGAGAGAGAGAGTAAGATAAAAACTTTTATAGAATATACTAGCTCTTTTTAGTTTTTTTTCGTATATATACACCGTGAACCCTTACGTCCAGAACCTGTCCCAATAAAGAATTGTCTATTTCCCCCAAATTTGATGTTGTTAGTTAAAATTCCAAAATGACAAGCAGATTGAATTTTTCGGTTCCCCTTATATTTCAAAAACTTGAATTAATTTTAAAATGTGTTAATAGGGAATATTCCTTCAATCTAACTCTTTCATTCATCAATGATATAAGATAAAAAAAAAATACATGTATTTCCAATTTTTGCTACTCTTTCGATTTAAAATTCCCAATAGAAAAGGTACAGGGCCACATACCAAAAAAGGGTCAATGAAGTCCTGAGTAAGCCTTTTTTCTAATACTACAGAATGTAGTTAATCACATAGAAGAAACATAAAATGGTCATTTCCAAATGGAAAGTATATACCCCTAAAGATCAGCCGTTAGATGTTAACTGACAGTCGATAGATCTAGCAAGTAGGAGCAAAGAACACAGTGATGTCACGTTTTAAATTCATTTATAGAGTTTCAATTTTGTGTATCACGATTTGACTGTAAAAAGTCGAAAGATGTGATTACATTGTATTTTCCTCTGTAATCCCCGCCATGACATCACGAAATAAACACAGAAAATAAAATGGTGCTTAAAAGATGATGAATAAAATACTTGAGTAATTTGCCTGTGTTATTTTGATAATCTTATGATTCTCTTTCGGTTATTATTACGTTTAAAAACGTAAAAAAAAAAAATAATAATAACGCTGAAAAATTATTTAATGTGATATGCAATATTTTTTAAAGCCACTTTAAATATTTATTATGTTTGCGCTTTACATTAACATTTTTATTGCGCAAAGTACATACATTAGTATAAGAGGGTAAAACTAAATGAATGTGTTTGCAAGTTATATTTTTTTCTTCGAATTTCAACGTTCCACTTTTTACAGAAGTAAATATTACAATAGAGATAGATTTATAAGTCGTATAAATGTCACATTAAAAGTTTTAACTTTAGATAAAACCTTTTATGGTAACATATATGCAATTGGAAACCGTTATCTTTTTCAGTGATCTATTTTTTTTATTTTCTCTACTACTCATATTCCTTTAACTAAATAAAAAAAAAAAAAGTTCCAATATTTTTGATTTACGACATCGCCCAGTAGTAAAAAAAGGAATCTTGTTCCAATACAAATAATTGCCATTTCATTTTTTTTTTCTTTAAACATACCGGTAAATGCAGATCACAAATTCGTTACACGTAGATGTTAAAATCGTTTGTTTGTTTGTTTTTCTTTTCTTTCTGGTGATAATTTTGAATTTCTTTTTGGATCTTCCCTTCCATTCTAACAGCTCTTTTATTGAGCAACTAAGGAAGAAGATCCTCGAATTATTTTTGGTAAAATCGCGAGGAAAAAGGAAACATTTGGCCTTGTCGGTACTTGCAGTTTGGTCGCGCTGTTTCCGAAATCAGTCTAATTGACAAGCAACAGCTGCCAGAATACAGTGCCGGTTACATTTTTTTTCTGATTTTGAAAAAAAATATTTCTGGTTTAAGTGAGCACCATCAGCTCTTTTTCTAAGAAGCTTAGATTATTTTTGTCGTTTTCTACATAGATGCAGCGGCATTTATTTTACGGAACTGAATATAAAAGTGGAATTGCTGTTTTAAAAAAAATTAAAATAGCATGCACGAAATAAAAGAGTAATTTTGTAACAAACCTTGCCACGAATTTACATTGCCTGCTGAATTTAACTGTGATATAACTTCGACAGAAACTTCCTTTACAATTACTGAAATTTCATTGAAATATAATTCTTTTCCATCAGAAAATTATGAATAAATGAAGATTCTTTTTTTTTTTTTTTTTTACAATTTTTACTGAGAATAAAAACTTATAATTTAATATGTATGAAATACATTGTTTATGTACGTGCATAACAATTATGTAATGCAAAACAACATTATTTATACATGTTATGTACGCAAAGAAATTTTATCATAAATCGGTCTCCTCTGATAAAGTCTTGATGACGCGATGTTTGAAAGTTCCGAGTCTAAATCTAGAGCATACTTCTTACATATCAGCTTCTAGGGCGAAAGTGATTAGGTAAATAAACAAGTGATAAAGGTAATTGGTGTAATATAGTTAAGGAGTTAGGTTTATCGGTTACCATCATAAAACATCATTATTTAACAATAGTTCACAAACAACCAAGAAAGATGGTGTTAATTGCTGTCAAATCACATAAGCCTTTGATGTAAGCAGGAGGACAAAGGTGGACTCGATTGTCGAATTTTACGCTAATCAAATAATGCTTTGGGTATACCAAACTAATTTGATTGCCTCGTAAGATAGTTTCAAAATAATCTTAAGTAAATGTTTCATCATTTTGCATCTTCATTTTACATCATTCTTTAATGCAAATTGTAGAAATGTTATAACTGTCAAATTTATCAATAAAAAAATTTCATATTAATGTTTTTGATACACTAATTAAAACTTCCATAACAAGTTTTCCAAAAGACTCAAAGACTAAAAGTTGCAATTTCCCAGCACTGACTGTGTCTAGACTTATGTCTACAATGGGAATATACAATTACAACGTATATTCTGAGTATGGCACCCCCGGGACGGCGGGTATGTTAATGATCAGCATTAAATTATAATTAGATTCACGACAATACTGAAAACAAAATGAATAGTCTGGGAATTTGTGAAAGGGATATTTCCTTCATGCTGTCAAAAATTACGTATCGAATGCTATTTTTGAATTTTGTGAGTAAGACTGTTGTAAATATTCAGTCTAAAAGTACTTCACGTCAGCTGATACATAGACAAACAGGTGCTGAACAGGTGCCTTATTTAATACACTATGTAAACCTTTGTTTTTAAAGCAATCAACTAAATGTGTAGTACAAATAATTATGGATGGGAAAAGGAGCCTTTTCAGATTTTTATCAAGTATGATTTTAAAATGCTCAACACTCTTAAAAATTCAACAATTTTACCAAAATCAAAACACAATTTTGTACGCACTATATCAACTGGGAAATAAATCTTCTAGCTATAGACAAGATACATGCAAATATCAATTTTATGAAATAAGTACCTTAGATACAATCTTCTCTGTCACGTTCTCTGTAAGAATGATCTCAGATTTGGTAAATCGGGCGTATTTAAGGGGGTTAGGTGTGTACCAACAATACCATTGAAACAAAAAGAATGCTAATGGTTGTCAAAACAGTGGTCAGAAAAAGCCCGCTAAAACAAAAGAAAGAAGGACGTAGCTACCCCGCCTCCGTAGAAAGGGGGGATAGACCGACCTTCAAAACAATAGAAGAGGGGACTCGGCTACCGACCGAAGTCCCGTGTTTTTACTACAATCTGAGAAAGGTTGTTTACTCCAAATTAACAAAGACTTTGGCCTCTGTTAATTGATCACAAACATTTTTTCTCATCAAAAGAACAGTTACTGTCACTTCATATACTTAAAATTGTTGTATTTTTTAGATATGAATTTTTGTTGAAACAACGACTT